AAAAAAGACCTTTTCCAGCGTTTTGTTTTCTAACTGACTTTTTTTTTTCCTCATAGGAGATAACTTTACTTGCTAAAAAATTCTGGGGCTCAGCTGTTGTTGCAGTCAGTGATTCCAGGAAGAGAAATACAACTGACTTTGACTTGCAACAAAATATCCTGAGGCCTCTTCTGAGCTGTACTGTCTTGTGTGTAATGCAGTAGATAACAAGATTACAACGCTATAGTTGTACTATCACACTTCGTCATTCTAAAAACTGGATCATTAGCTGCATAAGGGTAGATCAATGTTTATAAATAGAATTAACTACAGTCCAGTAAATGTACATAGCATTCATGCTTAGAATTCAAGCAACTGGTATTAAGAAACTGGATAAACAAATCATTTTGCTGTCTAAAGTGTTCTACTTTTATCCTGGCTAAATATGTTAGGAGTGTGCCTCTGGTCTAGAAGAGATGGGAGAATACATGTAGAGCAGTTCGAGGAGATCTCAGTATATGAATTCAAAACAAGCAGAGTAATGTGTGGATTCACTGAAATTGAGTGCTGTCAGATCATCTTTTAAAAATATTTTGACAAAGTTTATTTAACAAATATTTCTTTCAGTTGGGTAGGTGAGTCAGTGTTGCTTCTTTCTTTTCTCCTTGCATTTGGCACTTTTTTGCAGGGAAAGTAGTTTAAAATGTTGCCATTAAAAGCCAATAAACATACGGCTTCTGGAAAACATTAGGTAAGTTTAGTAATTTGTAAAGTCCAGTTTTATAGGACAGGTTCAGAAGATAGTCAAGGGAAGGAAAAAAAAACTTCTTCTAAACATGTTTCCGTGCTGTTTTGAGGCTTCCTTTGAGATAGCTATATGTACTTTTAAAGCTTTACAGATTTATCTTGCCCTGTAACTAAAAGCTTGCAATATGCAGACTCTTGTTTCAGTGGCACATTTGTTTGTTGGCTGTTGAGCACTGAAGCTCAATCTATCTTTAATCTTAAAGGTAGAATATAAGCAAACATCTTTATAGTTGTTAATGAAAACCTTTATATTCTCGAAAGGAACTGGAATGTTGAAATACAGGATGGCGGTAGTTAAAACTGAAAACTAAATCCCTTTTCAGAGTAGGCCTTCTAAAGTCATGTAATGAAAGGAAGTTATCAATGATAGCTGAGAGGCAGAATGCAACCTAGTTTCATGTCATGGCACAGTGTGAAGAAATGGTGACAGAGCTCCATGTTGGCTTTGTCCCTTAGCCAAAGGTTCTTTAAGCACTCTCAGAAATGCTGTGTCAAGGTGCAGCTAAATTGTCATTACTCTTGCTGCTACTTCAACCAAGCTTATGAGCACTTTTTTTGGCTTTGCCATGTACTTGGTTAATACCAGCTAGGGTTCTAGGATTGTTTGCTCAGGTGGCATAGGAAGTCTTTTTCCCTTCCTTCTTGGATAGGAGAGTGGTAGTTAGCTGCTGGTCTGAAGTCAGACAGAAGGCAGGGCAGGGTGACATCTTACTGTTTTTAAACTGAGCTTCTGTAGGCAGCAGCCTACTTTTTCAGATATAGCTGTAACTAAATGATTGCAGTAGGCAGATCCTATTTCAGTGGCATATTTGTGTCTTGGCTTCTAAGCACTGAAATCTTAAAAGTAGAATACAGCAAACACCTTATATTTGCTGATGTGTCTGACAAAGTGCATACCAAGTAGGCTGTCGCTGACAAAAGCTTATGTCTTTCTGCATAGTGACACCCTGTCCTGCCATCCCTGCAATTAATTTCCCTCAAAGCTAATGAAATCATCTACAGTAGCTACTGATGGGGAAACTGGATTTCAATATATTTCTGGTTGCTAAAGGAAGTTTTTGCTGATATGATTAATAGCAATAGAGAGAGAGAAGTTAAAAAAGCTTTTAAAATATATAATTAAGTTCTTTTAAAATTGGTTTTATTCACGTAGGAGGCAGAATAGAGATTCATCTTAGACAAACTAAAAGGCATAAGCTTTTATTAACTCAAGCATACTACATCAGATGTATACATGTTATCCATGTATCAGTCAAACCTCATGGAAAAGATACCCATTTGATAAGCAACTTTTATTGCCGATACATAAAGTATTTTCACCACTGTTTTTTAAAAATCTGCTTGTAGATTGAGGAAAAAAATGATAACATGTTAGTAATCTTGCCATTTTGGGTGGGGTATTCTAGATTTCATTGAGCCTCCAAATGTTAAACCCCTTCCTGTTGTTCTCTGACTACTTTTGTTTGAAAGGGTTTTCCTCTAACAGTAACTTCTGCTCTTGGAAAGGTGAAAGTATTGGCCTCAAAACGCCTTCCTCTGTTTTCAAGAGGGGGTGAAATACCTTAGGATTTACACTTCTCTCTAGGTGAGGAATCCCACTTACTTCATTTTCCACTTCCAGTTGTTCGTAACTAATTTTAAGAACGGATATCATAGTAATGGAAGTGTATTTCAGCCTCTGTTGTTTGCTCTTTTTAGTCTTGGAGTGGCTGAGTCTGAGGTGGGAGATGGCAGCAGTTTGTCTCATGCTCCACCAAGGTATCCTGACAGGCAGGTCTGGCAGTATAGCAGTGTAGTAAGCTGTGAGAGTGTCCAGTGTAGAGTGAAAGAAACTTGGAGCCTCTTGAATGAAGAAATAATCTGTTGGGTTCAGAGGGAGGTCCAACTGAACCAGTGATTATCAGTTTTAAATTGTCATCTGGGTGTATGAAGGCCAGAGGAGGCTTGGGTCAGAGTTTCATGGGGTCACTTCTTCTAAAATGGAGAGGGATGGTATGGTCAACACCAGCATCCAAATTTTACTTGTGGTCATGGTCTCATCACTGGGAGTGAGATTGTTGGACTTTCCTTGCCACCTTGATAGTTTGTCAGGTAGCAGAACAAGCAATACCATTTGTGCTACAAAATAAATGCATGCTGTGGTCCACAGTTGCCTATCGTGACTTAAGCATAAGGAAATATCCATTTGCTGCTTAAGGTGGCTTTAAACCATTTATGAATTCTCCTAACCCTGAGCTGCCCAAGAGCTAAAGAGGTTGTTAAACATCCCACCCCGGTTTGTCTGTATTAGCTAGGGCAGCTTCCTGGGGCCTCTCTGTGCTTTGCACTGTCCAGAATCTCAGACAGCTACGAGTTCATTCCTGTCTCACCCGTGCAGGTGCTCACAAGCATGTTCTCAGAAGGCAGCCATGTGGCTGTCTCAGTTTAGTCCAAGAGAAAAGATAATCTGCTGGAAATGGGATTTTAGAGCCCCACTGTTACTGCCCGTCATACAGGGACCCCTTGGGTGCATCTACATGTGCCCCTATGTTGCTGTTGTTACTGCGCCATTATGTAGTACTTCCTTTTGGGAGACAGCTCAGTAACAGCCTATACTGCACGGTTCCCATGGTGCATGGTTATTTTTAGCCCCTACATCGTAACAATGCGCTATAATGTGGGAACGAGTTGCTTTAGTTTGTGCCCACCGACATTACGTGACCGTAATGTGTTGCTACAGCGACAGCATCACATGTAGACCCACCCCTTATATCAGTGATGCTGAGGCCCTTGCCCCGTGGACTACAAATGGGCAGTAAAGTTGTGTTCTAAATCTGTTGTTAACAGGTTTGTAACTATGGGGTTTCTTGAATGGTTACTCAAAACAGACTGTATATTCCTCTTCTGAAGCTTTTTGTGGAATAATGTAAGACTGTCATAGAGTAACTCCAACTGAATGCAGAGACTTCTTCGTACTGATGTTCTTTTGCTGTTTCAGCCCAGGAGATAATAGTTTTTCATGATGGCATCTTCCAGTTTTTCTCCCCCTCCCCAGTAATACTGTATGTAGTCACAATACCACTAAAAATTTAAAACGTGCTAGGACATATTGTCTAGCACCTCTTAATTCTGTTGCTGTGTTGCACATAATTTTTGTGTATTTAGTCACTCAATAAAAAAAATAGCTATCTTGCTCTGTATAGCAAAACAGAATTGCATTACCTTTTTGCTATACATAGTAAGTACTAATGTAAAGTTGGGAATGTTGGGTTATGATTTCACCTTCCAAGATGTTTCAGGCCCCTATGCATGTGTTACTGGCACTACTTGCCAACAATTCATGCTGCAAGATGCGCATTTGCTCTATGTATTACTGGCTGAACAGAAAATACCACCAAAAGGGGGGGCCCATATAGTAGCCCTATGACAACAGGAAGTGGTGGTGGTGGTTACTGCACTCCTAGAAGAGGTGTCAAAACACTTGCCACTACCAATCCCTTTTGCATTCGGTATCCTTCAGCTGAGAAGGTGAATGTTTTGGAAACTTCAGTGCTGGGTTTCTAACCAAATCAGACGGCTGATATGAAATACCAGACGGGTCTGTATGAACAGACTAGTTGGCCCACATACACAACTAAAGCTGAGGCAGTGCAATGAGCCAGAGGAGGGGGGAAACCTTAAATATGGCAAATGCAAGGTGCAGCACAACATGCAATCACAAGCTGGTCTGTGAACAGCTGGCTTGCCGAGTATTAGACTCCCTTCCAAGCTGAGGGAAACAGACAGCTGGTATGTGGCCTGCGTAATGCTGATAGAAGGATGGATATGTATGGACTATCTACTATCTGAACTTGTTGCTTATAAGATGGAAAAGTGTTGCAAACTCTACCCCTCTTCTCCCTCCTCCCTCCCCACCCCCCAACT